TATTGTGTATTTCTTATTGTATTTGAATCCTTTCATACTAAAGGAAAATTTATGAAGGTATGAGTTGTTTTGGAGCCGAGGGAATTATGCTGCTTTTTTAAATAATCGTATCAGTTTTTGAATAATTAATTATACTATTTTGCCGCCAAATTCTCTATCCTCTGATCCAGTTTTTCTTATTACCGGTCTCGATGAAATAGACAAGAATTGTGTTTTGTCTTAACGTTCTCTTTTAACACAGTTCCATTGAGATGTCAAAATTAAACAGCGACATAGAAAAAAGTAATCGAATGAAAAAAATTGACAATCGATTTAAAACTCCATTGATTTGGCTTACGCAGTCGAGTTAGCATAGCTTGTTTCTGATTCCGTTTCTCTGTAAATAACGAATACAATACGAACTTTTTTAAATTACTTAATAAACTTTTTATTTGCAACGGAATGGAGATTTATGCGATAAGGTTTATCGGTTATTAGTCTGTCTATGCACTCAAGCGTTGTCATTAATTTTGAAACCAATTATGTTAATGTAGACATGCTTTATAATATGTTTGTATCTCATATACCTAACGTACATTTGAAATAGTTGTAAATTGATTTAATAAGATGCTAAAAGTTCCTTATTCACCCCAGAAACTTAAAAAAGGAAATATTTAAAGAAAGCATTTCCGCTACAGAATGCTTTGTAGAATAATGCCTATTCGAAGATACACCAAATACCTTACCTTCGGATACATGTCTAGAAGAATGTGTGAATGGATCGGTTTAAAAGAATTTTTGAGATAGTTGGTCCAATAAATGTAATGCTATTGATATACTAGTAACGTTCTCCGGTTTCGCATTGGAATAATTCACATGGGGATTTCTGGAAATATTTTTTTATTCAACGACTACATAGTAGTGAGAATATAAACAGTTTATATAATATCTTAAGAGAGGCCGTAAAACCAAAATACTGTCCATATCTATCACATTGCCAGGCACAATAGGGACAGAAGATGGGAAATCGCGTGTTAACAAACTATTACAATTAATCCCTAGCTGCAGCTCAGCAACTGATTCATATATTTATCAGTTTTCTCTTTATAAAAGTATAACAATATTTCACGGAACGAAAGGCGGAAAACGCTTGTGTTTTTTCGCTCTTCGTACATCCGCTCCCGTCATAGTGGCTGCTCTTATTACCCTCAATTTTTACGCTTGGATATTAGCTAGCTTTTTATTCGAGTACTAAGCAAACTAAGCTACGCTAGTAAATTCTTTTGTTTATATAAATGACCACTTAGCTGTTCTTAAAGAACAATAGACACATTTAAAAGCAATAATAACAACATTTTAAATACAACAAACATTAAAATAAATAAGAATTGAAAAACCTATTAAAAGTGCTATAAATGTCAATTAAACTTTTGAATATTAAACAGAATTCTGTACAACTTTTGATCCCCGTAAAATGGGAGTAGAAGTACTTGAATCTTAGTGGGTTAATATAATTAATTAATTTCTAACAAAGTATCAAAACACAAGGCTTAAGTCCCCAACTTTAATCGTATCAACATTCTTTAGATCAGCTTTACATCTCTGACATAAAGTTTCGAACGTTCCTATGTAGTTTGTAAATAAAATTTATAAGTTTAAGAACAATTGAACTTGAGTCGTATAAGTTTTTGAAGTGATTCTTTTCTTCTGGTGACGCTATTATATTCAAAATTCATATTTCTATTAATATCATAGATATTCATGGTCATGAACAACGTACATCTGGGGAGAAGGCAATCTGTCGCTTTGGTGTCAATATCATTATTATGCAGGGTTACAAGTTGTCGACGAGACTATTTATCGCGTATTCTCTGAAGTTGCTTCCAGAGAACACGACTTTAAATATGCGATAACTAATATCTAGTTGTTAAGTGTCTGCTTTCTGCATATGACATTGTGGTGGTTCCATAAAAATCATTCAATATCTGCGAACTTCACACACAAAATCACGACGACGATAAATGATTCTTTGATGACAAGCTTATATTTGAATTTGAAATAAACAAATATGTTGGTTGGTATTTGAAAGAGACGCTAACAGAACAAATGTACACATCACGGTTGATAAGGTAGTATTGAAATAAGAAAACGGTATTGTATATTATGTTGATTGTGCTTTAAAAGGAATGGGAGATACATAAATGACACAGAAAGGAGAGTGTCTATACAATGCGGTGCTTATCAGCGAGAATTGGTAGAGATTGGTAGAATTGTTGAATTATTGATTGACTGCATTTGTTCAGGAGAAAAGAGAGTCGAAATTGATGGACTAGAATAACGTAAAAGTGGGAGAATGTAGAAGCCAAAACGCACTTATCACGAGGTAATAAATTACGTTCTCTTGAAGGTAATAAGACACAAAAACCGGAAAAGTGTATGAAAAGAGTAATCAACATAGTGGTGGCAAGGGGCGTATGTCCTTATATAGTTCTAGAAAGCAAAAGGGTCAAGTATTGTAAATTCCTTACTCGTTATGCTTGGTTCTCTTGTTTACCGTGCAAGCAATCTGGTGTGAAAATGTAGTTCATTATATTTAAAGAACTATTGATTCTTAAAATCTTAAAATAATCTTGGAATTAACTGTAAGAAATTGATAAAGGTTAAACCCTGTCGGAAGGTAACCATTAATCTTTAAACTGTAAATAAAATCTATATCATAATAAAAATGTTACTGATCGATGTCTGTACATTGAAAATATATGAAAAAAGAACAACTATTACAAGGAGCGTTTATAAACGTAATAGAACACAATATAATGACCAAATTTTGGTCACCTACCCCGTGATCCACTCTCGCGAATTTTCGCGAAAATGGTTTATCAACAACGATCGCAGGTAGCGGCGCTCATCCGTTGCGCACCGAGTTACGTATTGATATTGTCTGTAAAATTATAATTCGTGTTTGTATGTAAATAACAAAAATAGTTGACCTTAATTATATAAGATTGCTTATTTAACTCTCTAAGAATTCTATTTTTTTAATCTTTTCCTAGCTTACTTCTAAATTATAATATATTATTAATCAGCTCATGGATGGTTAAGAAAGATGGGCCATGATCTTTCACGCTGGCCCAATTCAGATTGGAGGATAATAACGACGGCAAATGCAGCCGGGACCAACGGCTTAACGTGCCTTCGGAAGCACGAAGTAGCTCAAGATAATATTTTTTTGGCCACCCACACCCCGTGCTAGTCCTCGTGGAAATTGCTTAACACCACCGATTGCGGGCCCCGGCGCTTATCCATTACGCCACCGATCTACTCTTAACTTATAGTAACATAAGTCAATTCCGTTTGGCTTTGACAGTATCAGGGCCGAATCTAGGGGTCCTTAGAGCCTGTGTCAGGGAACGCGAAAATCATTATAAGTAATATACATCTAATATTCGTTTACAAGAACAAGTTGCACAAATATATTTGTTGTAATTCATGCATATTCAAATCCAAAAATGATATAAATAAAAATTAAACACTTTTGAAATTTTACATAACAAAGAATGATAGTGTAATAAGAATGTAGTCCTCATTTAGTATTCGGGTAACTTGGAAAAATGTAAAAGAGAAAAAAGCTTGAGATTTGTAAGTACATTTGTTTTTGTTCGTTAATTTTTTTTATTATTTTTAATTTTTAGAAACAAGAAATTTTTTATTATTAATTATTAACAGGGTAACAGTCAATTTTTTAATATTCAGAAACACAATGCGAAGCACAGTTTTTATTAGAGCGAAGCCCCGTATTCCTAGTACTTTTTTTAAAGGTTGTTTTTTAATTATAATCTGTATTTAGATGAAATAAAGAGGAATGTGACATGCTAAATATTAAAGTTTTGGTTAATATTCATAAACTAATATAAAGTAACTTAGTAAATCGGAGTTGTCACTTTCCTAATATCCACTTACATTAATTGTTAGAGAAATTTGCTGGTTAAACTATATGAAGTTAAATGTTCTGATATAAATTACTTGTAAATGCTTAATATCGGATTTGGCTGATTTGAACCCACCCACACTTAAATTTATTGTAAGCTGTTTCAAATTTCAAGGAACATTAAAACGCAATAGAATTTTAAGGCAATCTTGAGTAGTGGAACAGAAATTATATATTATAGAAAATAATGATTATAAAAAAGAAACGGACGACATGTTTGAATTATTCTAGCGCTTTTGTGCTACTGTGTCAGCTAAATTCTGAAATTCGGTCTTAAACTCAACTATTTTCATGATATATCTTATATACTACCGAAGTTCTCTGTTTAATACCCGATCATGTCCTGATATAGAAAATGAACTTTTGAATAATGTCTCTGGTCTAGATGATTTGTTATCTTTTTTGTTCCAGATTAAATATTTCACCTGAGATTTCTTTAACCAACGTGATTTAGTTACTTACTTGGAATATTATGTCGATGTCGGGTTTTGATTTAATGCATTTTTGTGCGTCAACAATATTATTTATTAAAAAAAGAAGTGCGTTCACCAGTGATAAAACAATAATTGTTAGAAAATTTCGCAAATCTGGCCAAGATCGAGAGTGGTAGATCAGGCTTCCAGATTGCAAAAAGTTACAGATTCGTTTCGCATATCGGTCACCTGAGAGTTTCGGACGCTTCAGTATTTTTTATTTAAAATATGGTCATTGTCATCATTGCCCTTGTTACTTCCCCACTGCATGTAAACAGGCATTTATAATGGATGGTTAAGGAAGATGGATTATAACCTTTCAATGCGAATTCTAGGGCATTAAAATGCAGCCGGAACTAACGGCTTAACGCGCCTTTCAAAGCTCGAGATTATAATTTTTTGGTCACCCATCCCCAAACTTTGCGAAAGTTGCTAAAACAACAACGTTCGTATGCCGCTGCCTTTTTCCGCTACGCCACTGAGCTACTACTGTTTTACATATAAAACTTTAAGGAAATCAACCTCGAAATTGTTCTTATGTTTCTTTACTCTTTTAATAGGAAGCACTGCGTGGACGAAGATGTGCATCGTTACGCTCTGCTGCGACACCGGCGCGTGGCACCGATGAATCGGGAAGAAGCACTCCGTCAGCTGCACAACATGCATCTCCCTCTCCAGCGGACACCCCCGCTCCAAAGAAATCCAATTGGGAGGTCATTGAACACTTCTCGTCGAACCGTAGCAAGAAGAGTCCAACTACTGTAAGTATTTCCATTATTATCACATTCATAGGCGTCCAAGACGACCGGGGAGAAGATCCCCGATTTTGTATATCGACTGTTGATGTTACGTTCTGTAACATGAATTAAAAGCATGGCATTGGCCGACAAAAAGGTGTTATTTGTATTGAAATATATTAACCTCTGCACAATAGTATATACGAGCTCAATCGTAAATAATACGTAGTATATTTGTTCGGTGTAAACCTACGTGCACACTAATAATTTTAGTTACCGTGGTTTTAGTTAATGTTTCTGTCATTGTACTCCTGTCATTTCTTTGGAGTGTCCTTATGTCATTTCAAGTATGCGTCCGACAAGGATTTTCAAGCACGATGACAGTAAAAGTAGTAAATAAAATGTCAAAAGCGCGCACATAGCCTAAATAAAATGCACTTCGTTCACCTCGTTTGGATTAGTCGATATCTTAATTTGAAATTTAATGAATTATTAAATTATAATAGAGAATTAAACCTTTTTATAGATGGCGAGATTTCTGCGATGATATAAATAATATGACATGGTACATTTTAATAAATAATAAAAAATACCTAAATTTGAATTTAAGATTAAAAAAAAATTAATATTCAGTTGGCGTAACGATTGATTCCGTACATGTCCCAAAATTGTACCAAATAAATAAATTTAACTAAAATGTAATGAATAATTAGAAAACTAGAGCACTGTGTATGTGTATTTTCTGGTACTATATATTCTCTTCGTATTTTTTTCTACAAAGGAACTTCCATAGTTATTATATATATATATATTTTATATATATACATATAAGTTATTCTAATATGGAAAGATTTCATTGTTTGTTTGCATTGAATAAATTTCGAAAATACTTAAACTAATTCCTATACAAATTTTAATTTAAAAATTCCTTTACCTTCATCAAGAAGCTACATCATAAGCGGGTGAAATATGCTATAATTTACTCAGGCGAAATCGCAGAAAAAAGCTAGTGTAATATAAAACTGATATTGAGCAATTGAAAAATAATCTTCACTTTATTACGCACAGCACGTCAGCATCTGTCATTACCAGTTTCATTGACTAACCTAGTGATTTTGTCTCTTAAAAACTGCTTCAAATTCATAGGAATAATAAACTTTATTGTGACCTGCCCTACGCTACAGCATTTACATTACCTAAGGAAGATAGATTACAGCTCACTCTATAAAGAAAGTCGATATACAAAACACAAAACTACATAGGTTCTTTTCTAATACATGTTTGCTATCACAAATAATGCGAGCAATAATAAAACGTATAAGAGTGAAAATGCTTTTTATGTTGGTCCAACGATAATTCTCGTGATTGCCATGCCGTTGGCGTTCGCGTCAGATGAACAAGTAAATGCATGTCAATACATTACGCCGAATTTATATTACAAAAGTAGTTGCATGAAACTACTTTCTTTCATTTAATGCGTTAATTTCGCTAGCAATTGCACGTGTAAACGTCATTAGTTTCGTGCGATGCGCATATTCTTGAACTAATTTTGCCTCGAATTACATACCGAAACTAGTATCGTTACACCATCTGCGCATAGTAAAAGCTTCGACGTTGATGGATCCAGGATTACAGGATACTGTTGATTATGACATGCCATTACAATCGCTTCATTCGCGCCTTAGGTATCTGCAATCCGCATCCTAATAGTATTTTTCCCTATGGTATACTTTAGACTGAAGTCCGATTATTTCTGATGACTGTTGAATGTCCCGAATTTAGTTTCTCAGAAGCTGGCAACCCTGATTATGACGGTAGTTGCACAAGTGCCAAAATTAGTTTCATGAAACTTGTGTATAATGTCATGCAACTATTTTTGTAATATAAAATTAATATAAATATGTACAGACCGGCACAGGCGATATATATACACAGTAAAGCTGCAGGGACAAACCGTGAATTTTAAAATAGAGGTGAACTGAAACAATTCTGTACATAAAGTATAATTATTATTCGAAATTAAAAAAATCGAAACACAACTGCTCACAGTAGCCGGAGTTAATATGCGATGATGCCAACTTGCTAACGGTTCTAATTATGGGGAAATGAGCCTTAGCGCATTCTTAAATTGTAAGAACGCAAGATTTTGTTGTCATGTTTGTTTGATTACAATGATTTAATACACTCTGTTTTTAACATAAAATACGAGTCGTTTCCGAGAACAAAGTCATTAAGCTACGAGTATTACATTGCCGAAGGCGGTCGCGTTGTTTATAACGACTCATTTTTTCGCTTGCTGTCACTTTTTTTTTCTTACCTTTTTGCAGAAAATAATTCTACGTGTAATTTCATTTTATTATATTTATAACATCTATATAAATTTAATAAAAGGGATAATGTGTTTGTCCATTTTTTCTTCACGTTTACAGCAGAGTGTCGGTTAAAAAATTTGTTTCTTCCTGCAGTAAAAAACTTAAAAAATCCCTTTGACCACACTTCTAAAAAAAAAACTTTAAATCCATTCTTTCTGAAATTGTAGATTTAGTTTTAGATTTTCTCCTATGACATCTTATCCTACTCATTGGTTTTTTTTCCTTACTTATCCTATATAAGTTTCTTACCCAATCCATGACATTTTCAATCCCTTATTCATCCCACCAGTTTTTGTCATAGTAGCGGAACTCACATGAAAATATTTATTTAACTTTCCGGAAGTTAGAGATATATGTATAAGTATTGAACATTGCAGTACTAATGGAAAACTAGGTTTAATAAAAAGCAAATTAGCCGCTGGTAAACTGTTTCTCACATATTGAGAGAGGTAGAGATTATTTTACCATATTTTTCACGACACCCTTGGTGTATGAGTCCGATTCGCACTTGACCTGTTTTTCTTTCTTTTAAGGTGCGGTGCTCTAAGAGAGATCACGTTGTTCTTTAATTATCTTAACGAGAAAACTTACGTGGCAAAAGTTCTATACATTTGAACACCAACCAACCAAGTTTTTGTTTGACAATTCTATTGTATTACTCCCCCGTTCAGAGTCCAATCTAGGTGCTGTATAGGTGATCGGGAAATAATAATATTCGGTTACATAAAATTAATACTAATCACCGTAATAATATGCCATAAGCATGCTGTTCTAAATGTGCGATGAAATGTGTGATATTATTGGAATTTGTGGTATTACGTAGTTTATTACGTAACTTGAACAAGTAATAAGTGGTATTTCATAAAAGTCTGGTAAGTTTTATTATAAGATATATCTGCTTAAATAAAATTGAGGACTTTGTTCGACGTCGTCGTCGTCCATTTTGTCGTCCCTTAGTTTTTGCCGCTCCGAGCAATGGTCAGTCTGGCCGTTCCCTAGATGAGGCTCTGTCGTAATTACGTGTTTACACAATACAATGGGATATTTCAACGCTTTGACTTTCTTCGTCTCTGTGTTCACTTATCACAATAAACTTTAAAGTAATCAATATTTTGGGTACCTTCGATAAGTTTATATTTCTTTTGGCTTTAAGCCATGTTTTTTTTTTTCAAAAATTAAAACAGTCTTCAATTTCATGCTTTTTAGTGATCTTTATATATTTTTTTATAATAGGTAACACTTAAAATATTGAATATCTATATAAATAGAAATATTCAACATAATGAAAGTTTCAGAGATTTGACTAATTGCACGACACGACGCTCCATTCTTAATATAAAGAGGGAATATTTTATTAGTTGTTTGTTTGCGTTGGTAAGGTTCTAAAATTATTGAACCAATTTAGATAAGTCTTTCATCTATGGGAAACTATATAATATGCGGGGGATAAAGGCTATAATTTATGTAGGCGAAGTCGCGGGGAAACAGTTAGTTTCATAGAAATTGGTTCGCTATTCAAGAAAAAATAAACAAACGATAAACATATAGTACCTACTTTAATAAAAAAATATATCAAAGAGTAAATTATATATACATACTCATTGAATATCTTAAATCATCGTATCCGAATCCTTGAATTAATGAAAAATACGTAATATTTTGTTTTTTACCAGAAATAAGGTGTTACCTGTTGAAAAGCGTATTTTCTTCTATTTAAAAGGAAAACAACTGTCCATTAAGCTATTGAATAAGAAAATACAATTTTAAAAATGGGTCATTTTTAACAATTGGCGGAAATATCAGTAACCATACATAAAAAACATACATCGCCGTCGAACATATAATCTATCTAAATTTTGAAGTCAGTTAAAAACAAATAGATCTAGCTGTTTTTGACGTTTTCGCTTTGGAGTACTAAGCAACATTTTAATTTATAAATTTAGTTAAAGAGATGATGTACATTCATAAACATAATTAAAAGATCAATATTTTTTTTTTACCTTACATATATATTATTTCATAAAAAGCCACTTCACACAATTAATCACTTAAACCACTTGTGTTTTTTTTTGTGTTATACATTACAATCATGTAGTCCATATAAACAGATAACATTAAACAGTCGTTATCGATTGCAGAAACATATTATACTGTTGATATTTTTTTGATTACCTTTTACCAAGGAATATTAAAACAAAACGCGATAAGGACTACCACAAAAGAAATGGCACCATTGAGTTTTTGGTATATACTAGTAAAACTATTATTTAAAGTTACATTCAGCAATACTGAGATAAGAAATATACTTTTAAGTTTAATATTATTTTGTGTGAGAAGTAACTGATTAATCATTTAATCGTGTAATTATGAATATGCTCCTCCGTTCACCTTAGTAAATTTTATATAAAACTATCTCGTTTCTGAACTTAGAAGTATGAAAATTAGACCACACTGGTGAAGCCGCTGGTGGAGGATTAGTATGCTATAATTAACAGGGGTTAAGTTGAAAGAAAACAGCTGGTCTAGTCTTAGTGAAAAACATTCTTGAGACTATATTGATAGCTTACCGTAGTTGTTACATATGAAACATCTTGAATACTTAATGATCACTTTTGTCGCCGCAGTAAAATAAAAAAATCATAGAATAAACAA